ACAAGTTATCTTTCCTTTCACTAGCTGCCCTCACTCACTCCTCTCCACAGTTTTAATTTCTTGGCATGCACAAACAGCCTCTCCCAGTCCTGATGACCCCAGCCCCTTATGGGAAAAATCACAGAAAGCTGGCCAAGGTCCCTACCATGATTACAGCTTCAGGGTAGATGGCCTCAGTGATGACATCGCGGTTGTGTGTGATGTATTCCACCATCTCATTGAGACCTGCCCGCTTCACCTCCTTGAACTTCAAGTCACTGAGCGGGTCAGAGATGAAGTCAAAGAGAACACAGCACTGTCGCAGCTTCTGTATGAACAGCTCTTCTCGTTCATGAGGGGGAGCATCTGACAGGGACAATAAAGCATGGAAGCGTTTCTCCTCTACACCACCCACTGCTGAACAGGATGTCTGGCTAGATAAGCATTTGACATGAAGCCCTATTTTTGTATGATCCGAATATCAGACAATCTGCACTGTGTACAGCTTCACAACATTGCCATGGGACAAAGCAGTGCTCTCATTCCTGTTACCTACAGATGGGATAACTGACACAGGGAAATGAAGGCCCTGCCCAGACAGGAAAGTTTTGCCAGTTAGTGTGGTGTAACTTTTCCGTGTGGACATTTTCTCTTCCCATGTAACATACGAGAAGCCAATAGAGACACCCACATGTTGGAAGAAAGGTTTCCATACAAGGGATACTTATAATTTAAATGATCTAGGTATATCAGCACTACATCAAACACATTTTCGCTGAGTACAGCTCCCCAGTCATATCAGGACTGGAAATTGGGTCTCCCAAGTCCTCAGCTAGCATTCTTGCCACAGGAGTGCCCCTCTCTAGCACGTGCTAGTAAAGGAGATAGGTGCCAAAATGGGTCATGCCCTCACTTACATTAGGCCCTTTATTAATGACATTGTTTCTTTGCTATATTGCTACCAGATGTATTCAAACGCATGCAAGAAGCTTCAGCCTTTTCCACTGGCTGAGTAAAAAACAGACTTCTGGTCTGCCTAACAGCTGTATTCAGCTGGTAGACAGTAGGGGTGTGCGAAACAAGCTGTATTTGATTTGGATTCGGCCCGAATTGGAGGCAGTGATTTGATTTGTTGATGCGGATCACTGTCTCCAATTCAATTTGGCCAAATCCGAATCTGCAGATTCAATGCTGATTCGGAGAATCAGCAATTTGGACACAGACACAGCTGTAAATGTTTTTTCTACATACATCAAGGTACCAGGCACAGCTCATGAATGCTGCGATGGTGGAGTGGATGGAGCATCCCACAGGAGCACAGTGGGAGCCCCCCCACGTGATCAGCAGCAAACCTGGAAGCGGACTGGAAGTACTTCTGGTCCACTTCTGGGTCTGCCAGGGAGGGTGCTGGGGGGCCCCCCACATCCCACCAGCTCAGCAATCAGCTGCAGGGGGACCCTGGGTGCCCTCCCCAGACCCAGGAGGTACCAATCGCTGAGCCAGGAGGGCACAGGGGGTGGGCCCCCAGCATGCTCCCCAGTGGACCCAGAAGTGAACCAAAAGTGCTTCTGGTCCACTTCCAGGTCCAAATCGATTCAGAGAAATTAAAGGGTCCTCTGATTTGATTCAAATCTGGAAATTTGGCCACCGTATTGGGCCGAATCAAATCAGGGACCGGAGCTTCATACACCCGTACTAGGCAGTAGTCTATGCTAGGGAAATTACCTCTGCCTGGCAGCAGATGTCAGCAAAAGGGGTTACCTCTGAGCCATTGCTGAAAACACTGTCCCTGCTTGGGCTTATAGCTAAACAGTGTTCACTAGCACCCATTACCGACAGTAACTACGAACACTGGGTAACAGTCCTAGCAAAGAAGCAGCTAAAACAAGCCAGCCCCATTGCAAAGGAAACACCATGACTAAGAAGATCTGGTCATTTGTCAGGAATATCACACTGCTTAGAGTCAAGGCTCAGAACAAGTTTGCCACCAAATCCACAGCAAAATCTCTGCATTCTGTCACTTTCCACTGCAGCAGACTGGAGGTTTGGAAGCAGGCTCTAGCAGTGGGCTGTGCTGTGGTGGTGGATCTTCTGACCATGGCGTCACTGGAGCTGCCCTTGCCCCCAGCTCTTGGCCGATGCACTGGCTGTCACTGAAGGAAATCCCACCACAGTGGTGCTGGAGCTACCTGCATCCTGCCACTGCAGGAAGCCCTACATTTGCAGACAAAACTTGGGCTTTGGTCATAGCGGCGGTATTTGTCCATGATGCTACTAGGGTTGCCAGTGTCCTGGCTCTCACTAGGCTGCAGGCTGCTGTCATGGGAAGCCCTGCCTCAGCTCTGACCACAGCAAAAAGGTTTCTGCCCTCCACCCATCGTGCTGGTGCAGCTGCCTGAGCCCTGGCAAAAGCCAGAACTCTAGCTGTCACTGCAGGGAACACCACTACCACAGCCGGAGCCACAGTGGCAGTGGTTTCTGTCTGCCATGGTACTCATGTTGGCATGCTCCAGATCTCACAACGGCACTGTCTGCTGCTGCAGGAAGCCTGGCTGTCATAGCGGCTGCTGCAAAAGCCTGGGTTCTAGCCGCTGTAGTGCAGGGGGGCGCGCACGCGCACGCACGCACGAGTCCCTGCAGGGTTGGGGTGCAGGCTGCCATCAGTGGGCCTGGGTGAGGCCTGCTACATACCCAAGAAGGAGGGAGTCTGGCCCTCCAACCAGTTTTGACACCCCTGCGTTAAAAGTATGTTTCTGCTACAATGATCAATAGTGAAATAGGTAAGGTTGATTATAAAATCTGCCCAGATATATTTCAAAAGACATCCTACTAAACCACGCAGTTCATGCCTTCATGGAGCTGCCCTCTCAGGCTGCTGGCAAACACCAACATATCACCTTGCACTCAGCCTCTCTTTGGGAGCTATTCCAAACCACAAAGGCTAAATGTTTTTTATTACTTTTTTTAATTCTGGAACCCCTTTTGCAACAAAGAATCACAACAAGTATTATGACTTGCCCATGACCAGGATGCATGTCTCTGCAGAATCTCTCTCTCTACTCCTATGCTGAGGCAGGCTTCACGGGACACTCAGATGGCTAACAGCCACTACAGAAAGGCAATTCCATACAGTGGCTTTTCTTATCAGTAAATTTAGGACAACTGGCTATAAGCAATAGCAGCTTTTCAACCACCCTCAAGTTTTTAAGCTCATTTGCCTCAGTGAAGTGAGATCCTGCAGGCATAAGAAACACTACACACTTGACCCTGTTTTGGAGCAAGAAGGTGAGCTAGGGGGCTATCCAAGTCCCTTCTAGCCTGGCATTTCTAGGATTTCTTGGAACCAGACTCAACTGGGTGTTTTGTTATCAGCAATCCTTTGATTTGAGGATGATCTCTACCATGGCTCAATAAGCTTGGTGTTTATGTTGTGCTGGAAGTACACAAGGAACTTCCTAGTTCATGCACACATCTTTCCCCCACTGAAAGACTAGTATATCAGTTCAAGAGGCCTGCTTTCCATTACTACAGTCTGTAGTTATAGAAAGTCCTTGTCCCAGGGGTGGCTGCAATGCCCCCTGGTGGCCGCTCAGCCCTTGCCAACCTGACTCCCATTAGGGCCATCTCCCCTTTACTCACCTGCCACACCTTGATGATATCAATTTCTGATGAAAGGTAGGCTGACCCAGGGTTTCCCAAGCCAGGTCTTACCCTTAGGACCAAAGGTACTCCTGGTCATTGCCTTAAGGCAATGGCAGGTAATTGCTAGTTTTATGGACTCCATCC